TGTGGGCGTGGTTCGAAGAGGAAAGCTTCTGCACGTTGTAATAATGTAAGAATTATGTGAGTCTCATAACATCATGTAAGTCCTTCTTATATTTGAAATTTCAATGTCCTTTAGTACTTCAGCACTATAGGTACATTGTTATATAAATTCTAACCTGAGATGAAACTTTTTCTAGAGGAAGGCAAAAAGGGCTGTTGCAGCTATGCTGACTAGATTGAAAGATGGTGAGCGAGATGAAGATGTAAACTTGACCGAGGAAGAAAGAATAGAAAAGGAGCAGAGTGAACTCGTACCTCTGTTGACTGGTGGTAAATTGAAGTCCTACCAACTCAAGGGTGTCAAATGGTTGATTTCATTATGGCAGAATGGGCTGAATGGAATCCTTGCAGATCAAATGGGGCTTGGTAAGACAATTCAAACGATTGCCTTCCTTGCACATCTGAAAGGGAAGGGACTGGATGGACCTTACTTAGTAATTGCTCCTCTTTCCACTCTTTCAAATTGGATAAATGAAATATCGAGGTACTCCTGTGTTAACGTGGTATGATTTTTTTTTAATAACAAAATTGTTTAGACGCCTTATTTTCCTCCATTTTGTTTGTATGTCTCCGTATATAGATTTGTGCCCACAGTGACTGCTATTGTATATCATGGTGACAAAAAACAAAGGGAAGAAATTCGAAGGAAGCACATGCCTAGAACAATTGGACCCAAATTCCCCATAGTGGTTACTTCGTATGAGATTGCAATGAGTGATGCTAAAAAGTTTTTGAGGCATTACAATTGGAAATATCTTGTCGTTGATGAGGTCAGCCATCTTTCAGACCAGGCTACTAAAGTGTCTCTTGTAACATATAGCAATGGATTTTAGGAAACTTATAATCCTGAAAGCATATTTTTCTTGAAGGGGCATCGGCTGAAAAACTCAAAATGCAAATTGCTGAAGGAGTTGAAGTACATAACTGTTGAAAATAAACTGCTGCTAAACTGGGACACCCCTGCAGAATAACTTGGCAGAGCTTTGGTCGTTTTTGAACTTTATTTTGCCAGATATCTTTTCATCCAATGAAGAATTTGAGTCATGGTGAGTATGCCTTTTTATTTTATTTTTATTTTTTTATAGTGTAATCTTTGAGTTTTCTTTTTTCATCCACAAACACGGAGGCAAGTTTATATTCCCTTTGAAGTACTGAACTCTATTAAATAAATAATAGCACTCATATTTTGAGTGGTAGCTTATAAGTCAGGGGGTCAAATAGTTATTATTACCATATTGAAGATTGATTTCCTCCTAATAATTTGTTTTCAGGTTTGATCTCTCTGGAAAGTGTCATGCTGAAGAGAAAGAAGAAACCCATAGAAAGGCCCATGTTTGTAACTCTTTTGATGGTTTTTTTTTTCCGAAGTACGTCGCACAAGTTTGTCATATTCATATATTCAAATCCTGCAGGTGGTATCAAAGCTGCATGCAATACTGAGACCATTTCTACTTCGGAGAATGAAATCTGATGTTGAGCTAATGCTCCCCCGGAAAAAAGAAATCATAATTTATGCAAACATGACTGAGTATCAGAAGAACTTTCAGGAACATTTAATTAACAAGACATTGGAAAATCATCTCTCAGAGAAGGGATCAGGTGGTATAGCATTGGGTTTTAGTATATGTATGCCATGTGCTTGCCGTTGTAACTACCAATTTTCTCTATTCTTATCATTTTCTTTATGACGTTTATCATTTTTATTTCATTTTGAATTTCTTTATGAACGTCATTTTTATTCATTACAGACTCCAGTCCATTTATGTTCTGCTAATTGTGGTAATTCTTTTCTGAAAATGCAGGACATGCTTTTAAAGGAAAGCTGAATAATTTGATGGTCCAGCTTCGGAAAAATTGCAACCATCCCGACCTCTTGGAATCAGTTTTTGATAAATCTTGTATCATCCTCTTATTTTTCAATCCTTCATGGTAAAATTGTACTATACAATGTCACTTAATCCCTTGTTTTTTTCCTGACAGCTGCATATCCTCCTGTAGAGCAGATAGTTGAGCAGTGTGGAAAATTTTGCTTACTAGATAGATTGTTGACATGGTTATTTGCACGCAAGCATAAAGTAAATTGATCTGTAACTCTTGTTCTGTCATTCTTCTCAGTTTTCCTAGTTAACCTAATTGCCTACTTTGCATTTCTATTAGGTCCTTGTATTCTCTCAATGGACTAAGATTTTGGATCTCATGGAGTACTATTTTAGTGAGAAGGGATTTGAAGTTTGCAGAATCGATGGTGGTGTTAAACTAGATGAAAGAAAAAGACAGGTATGAGTTTGCACATGAAATAACCAAACAGTTTGAAGCCAGTCGTGTTGTTTGTTGTTGGTCTGTTTTTCTTTCATCCACTGCTTTTCTTATTTGCATGAAGGCCTATATGTGCCAAAACGTTGCAGTATAATGTCACTTTCAGAAATTGTTGCACTAAGGAACTATATTCCGTTATCTGTTACCATGGAGAGAATGAGCCAATTGTTGCAGAGGAAGGGGGTGTAAGATATTGATTGTTGGGCTCGTGGAGCAAGGAAGAGAGAAAGTAGGAAACTATAAAAGTAGGAACCCATATTTGGGCTCACACGATGGGAATGCATGTAGTGGGGTGGTGGTGTTAATGATTGACTTCAGTGCCCCCACAACTTTATTTCCCTTGGGCTAGTTGGCGAACTCTATGTTCTGTTGGTCCCTAATGTTCGGATGGGCACATTTGGAACAGTTGCTTTTCCTAAGGTGCTCATGAGTGTGTCCTGTTCCAGGTGCATGCCTAGCCATTCCACCTTGCTTCATATTAGTATGAGATGTCCAAAAACCTCAGTACTGCCTTGCATCTTTGTACTTTGTGCTCCTACTTTATTAGGCTCTGTTTGGGATCTTGAGAAACGTCGAGTTGAGACAGAATCAATTACTTAAATGTTACAAAATGGTAGTCTATTCAGTTATATTTAAATAATTAATTGAATCTTTTTACAAGCCGTGGTGATCTATTACCTTAATTGATTTCTTATCTTGGGTTTATTTCCTTAGCTAGACTCAAAATTTTGTGAATATTATTCCATCATGGAAGTGTTGGTGATGGGGTATCAAGGATTGCATAATTGACCAATTTAGTTTCTGTACATGTAGATCCAGGAGTTCAATGATGGTAGCAGCAAGTACAGGATATTTATTTTTAAGCACGCGGGCTGGTGGTCTGGGTATCAACCTTACTGCTGCAGATACTTGTATACTCTAATGATAGCGATTGGGTATTTTTCTTGATACTGTACTATGCATAAATACATATGTGTGTATATGTACGTATGTGCATATGTATGTATCATGTATGTAACTCACCATATTCCTTATGTACACCAGAACCCACAAATGGATTTGCAGGCCATGGATAGGTGTCACAGGATAGGTCAAACGAAACCTGTACATGTTTACAGATTTGCAACCGCTCAGTCTATAGAGGTAGCTTGCTGATGGTCTTAATCTCTCCGTGTATATTTCATGAAGTTATTCATCAGTACTCTATAATCTTTTGACGAATTGTGTTACCAGGGCCGCATTCTGAAAAGGGCCTTTAGTAAGTTGAAGCTTGAGCACGTGGTCATTGAGAAGGGGCAATTTCACCATGAACGGACAAAAGCCGACTCTGGAGCTGCTGTAGAGGTTAGTTTAAGCGTTTCAATCCATTTTATGCACTCTGATTCTTCATTGCCTACATTTGATTTTGGAAATGTCGGGACAACTAATAGAATAGTTGGGATGTGTGCAAGCCGGCTTGGACACTAGAATATAAAAATAAAATATCTTTTCGTGAGAAGTTTGTTTATGTTACTTGGTGACCAAGATTTGTTGTGCAAGCTCATTACCTGGTTGTGGTAAAAAAAAATTCATGAAGCGGATCTATTAGCACTACTAACAGAGGAAGATTCTGCTAAAGACAAGATGGTACAGGCAGACATAAGCGACGATGATTTGGAGCGCATTTTAGACCGCTCTGATCTGGTTGTCCATCTGGTTCAGAGGATGAGAAAGCTAAAGTTAATGGTGAGTTATATCCTCTGAAAGGGCCTGGCTGGAAGGTGGTGATACCAACTTCAACAGGAGGGGTACTCTCCTTAACTCTAACTGTTAACGCCAGGTTTGTGGGTGGGATCATGCATGTAGTTGAGGGTTTCTGGTTGCATGCAATTTTTGGCCCTAATAGTTGAACTGTCTTCTGAATCTGATATTGTATCTTCAGTGCAGAGTTTCTACGGTCCTAATTAAACCCCCAAAAATGGATAATATAATAAATAATTGACTTGTAAAAAAGAAAAAAAAAAAAAAAAGAGAGAGAGAGAGATAATGGGGTAATAAATGCAGGTTCGTGGAATAAAGTTGAAAGAATCATTGAAGAACGCAGAACGTGCAGCTTTGAAGGCCATATAGACACAATGGTTGACCGAATCTATCACAAATCAAAAAAACATCAATGAAAGAAAACGAAACAAAACCTAACAGGGAACTAATGTTTTTTTTTCTTTTGGATTATTGGTACTAAGACAGCGTGGATTAATTTGACCACTTACATCTATCCACGTGTATTTTCCTATTTCTTTTTCTGTCCTCAAACTAGGGAACCAATTCATAGCTATTACTTTAAAATCTTATCAATTTGAAGTTATATCATATGGCAAACAAACTAACTAATAACTTAACATTAAAAATATTATTAGTGAAATGAATAAACTTTACACTAAAAATGCCTTGTATAATTAAATTGTATATTGTCGTATATGAATACTTATTATTGTATTTTTTTTTGTTATTTTTGAAAATCATGAAAATTAGTGTATGAAATATTTGGAATATTATCATAGTGCATTGGTATATATCACATTTATTTATAAAGATAACAATTAATATTGTCTGTCACTTTCCAAACTTTTAAAAATTATAATTTCTGCCATAAATATATTATAAGAATTAGGGTAAATGTAATATATTGATGGAAGGGCACAAGTGCCATAAGCCACACAACAGATGCATGCAATATTTCACTAGAAACTATATGAAATGAAATACAGAAGAAAAACCATCTTATCTTATCTTATCTTTTAATAATTACTGAATGACTTGTTGAATTTACATTAGCAATGTAGTAGCTTATGAAATGATCCCCCTACTAAATCAAGAATATTATTAACCATTTTTTAAAATCATTTTTTAACCTCTAAATTCTGGAGGGTAGATTCAGGTGCGACCACGGTCATTACACGAGAGTGTGGTGGCGGATCCTGATTGGCAGACCTTTAGGGAAGTCAACAAAAGGGTAAGCAAAAGGTTGATCTGAACCCACCAATTCCCATTCGTAGTTCAAGACCAAATGATGAATAAAAATGGCCATTTCAAGCTTGGCTAGTTCTGAACCAGTGCATAGTCGCGGTCCGCCTCCAAATGGCATGAAGTTATTGGTTATCGTCGCACTCGATGGCAATCCATTCATTTGCTGCGTCCACCATAAGACGTTAAGTAGGAATATTAGAACTTGAACTATGTAAGCTATAACATAATTTAAGAACAAGGGGATAGGTATGAAATGAAGTTAAGAGAGTCGCTTTCTCCTAAAGTTCATTTATTATTGGTCATTTGATTTGACCACAGTTTAATGAAAATTTGACAACAAAAAGAACAGATGAGAACAATTAAGAGGATCTCCAAATGGCAAAAAAGGGACCAATCTATATATATATATATCATTCCTAACCTACATAACCCTCAAAGAATTAATAGCAATTGAAACATGGAGTAGTTTCAAAAGAAAAACAGTGATTGGTTGAGTATCATAAACTAAACAAGCCATGTTATCGTCAATCAGTCCCGAACACAGGCTTCACTCGGGGGCATTGGGAAAGGATGAAGATGTGAAGAAATGAAGAAAAAAGGCATTTTGGATTGAGGAAAGTTGAAGTGGTAGTTTTTGAAAAGGGGAAGGCATGGGAGGGAACTAGAAAATACATGGGGATGGGGAGGGACCAAGTTGTGCATAAATCCAGTAGAGAAAAAGGCACCAGTGCACGTGCAAGGGAGTGTCCCACCATCCACATGGGGCTCTAATCATCTCGACCCAATAGGCCTGATCATATCTCCACGGCCCCCCCTCAAACTTATAATAATGTTATTCCTTTCCATTCTCTTCCTTACAAACTCAATTTCTATTTTACCCATTTCCACATAACAATTCAAATCGACTATGAACAGTAACAACCAAGCTCAACACAAACTAACATGTACTTATAGGCGATTTGATTCAAATCTGTATATCCACATTTGTTCTACTAAAAAGAAAATCAACACACATATAGCTCAACTAATTAATTAAGGCTAATTTTAAATTTTGACCAAGACATTTTGTTAAACTATTTATATAAGAAAACTTCTTATAGATTGTATATTATTTTACCATTGCTTAAATACAAGAAAGTGACAGAGATATTAGCATACCTTCATATGGGTATGTGTATGTTGTTAGTTGTAGCGAGTTTTAGAAATTGGTATGAAATTCCAAAAAAATATTGGCTGAATCTATACCTACTACATTGTGCCTTATTCTCTTATAATCATCTAAATGCAACGTCTCGAAATTTCTTTTTCTTTTTTTTTTATAAAAAAACATTGTATATGAATCGGCGACGAACCTACAAACCCTACCATGCCCTCCCCTTTAGGGATCACTTGTTTTGTCACATCATGTTCTACTCCCAAATTTTTATTTATCATTGTCTTACAATAAATTGTATCATATCTTTAGGAAATGTCTAAATCCAAATTTAATATTTCTAAAGTAAACATATAAACATATCATAAGCCGTCTTTCTCTAAATGCAACATGCAAGGTAATATATTTTTATGAAATAAATTATTGAAATTAGAATGATATAAAGGAACAAATTAATGACACGGGAATATCTAAAAAATAATAGGCACATGAAATTAGAACATAAGTCTTTATAATATTTTATTTATTTAAACATTTGACCACATAAAATTATAATTAAGAAAAAGCAAAGAGAGGAGCAGAGCACAAACCTGCCACCTCCATGGATTAAAGTTGTGAGGTTGGTAAAAAACTGAAGGATCCAAATGCGCTGCAGATATCACAGGCAGCACTTTCCATCCACGTGGAATGAAATAACCTTTTTTTTTTTTTACAGTTCCAAGAAAAAAAAAATTATAATACTATTTATATAAATAGAATTTGCCGGTAATTTCCCGGTAGCCAAACGCCTTTTTAAAAAATTAAAAAATTAAAAAATAGATAAAAAATAAAAAAGGGGAAAAATTTTCTTACCTCTGTACCGTACATCCTTCAGTGCCTTTCTGTGAAGAAATCTCACCACGTTTCCAAGCCGAAGCGTCTCGTTAATCACCTAAACCAACCCAACAATTTACAGCAAAAATTAATTTCAATACGCAGCAATAAACAGAACTTCGAAATTTTTCTTTGAATGATTAATTACACATTGCGTGAATTCCATTTTCTTGTAATCTTCCCAATCCAATTCCGCCTTTCCCAATCGTTTATTGCCTCTGGCGATCTCCAGGTGTTCTTCCTGTGTTTTGAATTCCAAGAGATCAGGGAAGACGAAGAAACAGGGGAAATCGGTGATGGAAGTCTTTTTTGGTGACTTACCGTCAACTGTTGGACGGTGGCTCGGCTGCCGGAGAGGAAGAAGATGGCTAAAGCTATGGAGACCGACGATGTCTCGTGGCCGGCAAAGAGTAGGCTAAGAATCAAGTCGAGGATTTGCTCCGTCGAGAGATTTGAGTGATTCAATGCCCAGCCGAGTAGATCGTCTTCCTCGAACTCTCCGCCATCGGCTTCTATTTTCAACCTCCGTTCCTCCATTTTCCGCTCGATGAACTTCAAGATCGTCGACCGAGACTGTTGAAAACCGAAAATCAAAATCTCTCTGTAAAAACTAAGAAGAATCGTCAAAAACCGCCATGCAATTGCGAAATCAGTGTTTTCGATTACCTTCAAAGCTCTTCTGTACGGCGTTCCTGGTAGATTCAGTGGCGGAGAAATCACTCCTTTCATGAAAGTAACATACTCCTTCTTCAACATCTCCGTCTCCAACTTCCACGGATCCAAACTCATGATGTGTTTCGCCATCAAATTGAAAGTGAACTGCAAAACTTAATCGATTCTCCAATTTCATGATCGAAAAGAAAAACGAGCAAACAAACTAACCGAATCAAAATCCGTTATCCGTACCCTTTTGGCTTCGTCCTGCGCCAAAAACGTTGAGGAATCTTTCCAAGAACGAAGGACGAGCAGAGTCTGGTTCTCAACCTCCTTCAAGAGATGAGTCTTAAGCCTACTCTGGCTCAGAAAGTTGAGCGATATCATTCTCATATCCCGGTGCATGTCGCCGACCGTAACCAGCATCGACCATTTCCCAAGGATCCCGCCGATGCTCCTCGGGTAGCTACATTCAAACAGCCGTCCTTCGTTCTGCAGTATGTACCGGTTCAGTCCAGCATCGGCCGACACCACCGTCGGCTCTCCGAACAGGTTCGACTTATACACTTTACCATATCTGCATGTCAAAAAATCTCCAAAACAACTAAATGAGAAGATGCTAAAAAACAGAGACTAGTCCAGGGTTTAATTTGGGGGTTCTTACCTGGTGATATGATTCTTCATGAAATCTCCGATGGTGGTGGCGGAGTATGGGCGGAGATACCCGACGGTCTCACCGAGAAACGGCCATCCCATGTTCCCGGGAGGAAGATCGACGACATTTCTCTTCCTCCGAAGCAGAATCAGGAAGAGGAAGAGAGCCAAAAGAGATGGGAGAAAACAGAGTATGAGCAGTGGATGAAACATGGTGAGAAGTTCTGCTCTCTCTCCTCACTATACTGCTAATGGTTTTGGTTGGTACTTCCCTTTTTCTCTCTGCACAAAAAATTGAATCAGAGATATGGTTGAGAGAATCGAGGAAGAAGGACGCTGGAGAAAGGGATTGGAATTAGAATGTTAGAAACAAACACATGGGTTTTCCTCAGTGGGGGGAAAATGGAAATATTTGAGAATTCTGTGGGAACCCGACGAGCTCCCTTTTATAAGCTTCTCCCAGTCCGATCATTTATTTTATTTTATTTTATTTTTCTCCAATTTCTTAACGCGCATGCAGCCAAACATTCTAATGCTCAATGGATTATATTTGGCTATTGCATCCTCTTTATTTGGACTTGCTTAATGCCCTGATCGCTCACTCTAAGTAAACAATTAACCACACCTTCCCATTAATAACTACTTAAATCTTAACATCATTGATCAAACATTTATATTTTTAGTCTTCGATCATATTTTTATGTTGATGCATACTCGTTCTAAAATTCACAATTTTGTAATATAGACGAGCAATATTTTATTTTTACACTAAAAGAATTCAACTACTCTAAGTTACTAAAAATTGATCATTAAAAAGGTCAATTCTAAAGTTCGAATATATTATATATTACTGACCGAGTACACCTCTATATTTATTAAGTAAATCCATTATTATTTGTACCTTAGTTTTATTTTAGCTCACCTTAATTATTTCATTATTATTATGAATTACTTTTGTGACACGACACATATAATCATGACTAATAACCCAAAAAGCATGCATGCATGTTGCAACCATAATCATTAAATTCACAAACCAAGTTTTTTCATTTAAAAAAAAAAACCCCACCTTTTAAATTTATTTTAATTTTATTAAATTGAACCATAAAATTCAATGTTTTTTTAGTTTAACCTTAAATGAGTGCATTCATTCCCTTTACAACATAACTCCTTATAAATAAAAAATAAAAATAAAAAATCGCGAGAGTAATATTGGTCCATAATTCAGATTAAGATTTAGAATCAAGCAACTCGAATGACATAATCATATTATCTACTTATCTTGAGCTACCTTTTAAATTGAAAACTATCTCCACAGACTAACATGTGTTCTTTTAACATATTGCAACTTCACGTACATGTTTTTTAGGAAATAACGTGGTCATGTCGCATAAATGTAGAGACCATCAAATGTCGAATTCGAATTTAAAATCTAAATCTAAATCTTAGATATGGGACGTTACAAGATACCACTCTTAGGGACAATTTACAAAAATTTAAGTATGTCATTTATCGACATGAAAGCATACCAATTGACAAGAAAGATTTAGATACATTTTCGTTTCAAACTTATTTATTACGTGGAACATTTTATTGCTCTATCCAATGGACCAAGACAAGTCATAACCAGGGAAATAATACTAAAATGCAAAACTTAGGATATCTATTGTTTAGCTCTTCATTAATAATAGGCTTCATAATTGTTCTATTTCTCTACAACTTGCTAACCAATAAGGAAGCAAATTTTTATTTTCAGATAAAATAAATAACAATCATTATCAAATGGGACTAAAATCATTATCAATTAGGCCAATAATCATTAAAAATTTCCAATACAAGTTTATCAATTATGTCCAAACATTTTTCGTACAATATATATTAATGACCAATAATTCAATTAAATAATTTTTTTTAAAAAATAGTAGACCCCAATTTAATTTTCTAAATTTATATTCAATTTAGAATATAGTCTGAATTGAAAATAGGTACATAATACCAATCAGGCACTATATTGCACTGTTGCTGATGGATTGTATATAGAAACAAGGATTTGTATTCCTTTACCCATCTATTTCATCTACATATTTTCCTAATCATTGAAAATAATGACAAACCCGAGAGAATCTAAAAGGAAAATGAGCCGACTTCAACTTTACCATCAATTATAAATCCGTTTAGTTCGAATTTGTATTCCTTATTTAAATTGTGTTTTTTAAAACAAAAAATTGAAATAAACAACTTTATAATCGGACAGGCATGAATGATTGAATAGTATTTTCCCGCCGATAATAAAAGTGTTGTTAATATGGAGAAATTGAGGCCGACCTCCCTAATTATTATTCTATTAGTCTTTCCCTTAAAAGAGAGAATAGGGTTCTTAGAGTGTTTGAATGTTCAAACCTTGTTCTATGGTCAGCGCAGAGAAGCTCTTAATCCTTTAAACACTTAATGATCCGTTAGACACAAATTCAAAAAAAAAAAAAAAAAAAAAA